ACAAAAAGAAATCAAGGGGCGATAAATCCGGTGATCGTGGAGGCCACTCAATGCTGCCTCTTCTCCCAATCCAATTCCGTAGAAAACGTTGGTCCAAATACTGACGGACAATTAACGCATAATGCGGAGGAGCACCGTCCTGTTGAAAAATCAAATGATCTTCATCATACTCTGGAACATTTTCAATAATATCAGTCAAGACAGGGTCAATAGCGTCTTCCAGTAATTGAAAATACATTTGGCCAGTCAAATTACCAGGTAGAAAAAAAGGACCGACCTGCCAGTCAGCGAAAATTTTTCCGGTTGCTGTGTATGCACCTCGTGAGAATTTCTTGGTTTTGAATCAAACCAATAGCGGCATTTGTGACGATTTACCGTTCCGTTCAAGAAAAAACTGCATTAATCAGAAAAACAGATGTTAACAAAGAACTGTAGATCGTTCCCTGCTCGCTCACTCATTATTTCGCAAAATTGTAAACGACGGTCATAATCATCCTCATGAAGTTCCTGGACTAAATGTATTTTGTATGGATGGAATTGCCTCGTATTTAATGTAGGATCAAGATGAACTTGTCCCAAAACTGCAACTTCACTAGCTTCATTAACTATAGGTTTTTCAATTTATCGTTTTTTATTGGCTACGTTCCCTGTCTCTTGAAATTTTTTACTAACTCTAGAACATACTTCTTGATGTTGTTCATTAAATAGCTGAGCTGTTCTATTCGCACATTTATTGTTCATAAAGTAAAGCGAAATGACATCTATCCTTTCTGCAATGGAATAAACCATAGTGTTTAATTTTCAAAAACACAATTAAATAAACTACCAACCAACACTTCCAAATAATACTAGAAAATAATTTGGAATCCACTAATTTTACGTTCATTGTGTGTGTATAGCATTCATTTCTGTTTTTTACAATTCTGTATTTTTACGAAAGTGATAACAAATCGCCAAAAACCAATGTAACGCAAGAAATACTAAATTTATACCATTGGCGTACTTAACTCGAATGACTGACATTTTTACCATTGCTAATTGTTTGTACATAAGTTTCAACTTTAAAATAAAAATTCTTAATAAGTATTGGGCGGAATTATAAAATTTAAAGTCTGTTGTAAAGAGAATTGTAAGAGCTTTCAAAAGAAATATTACTCAACCCCCAATGCCATTTAAATATTTTGGGGTGGTGCTTACCCTTGCTTGGGGGTGAAAGTGGCGAAGTCAAAAATACCAGCAAAGAATGTTCCCCTTTAATCTAAAATCGACGGGTCTGAGCGTTTTTCTACAATCTTGACGCAGTTCCTGAAAATGGCTCTGTTTCGTTTTCATTTGGCCACCCTGTATTTACGGAACATCTGATCGTTAAAAGTCGAGTACATAATGTATAAATACAAAATTAAAAGTATAATATCTATACTCAATTGAATATTGAAGGTCAATGTGCAGGCTGACCCACAACTGATGGTTGGACATCATTACATGAGAAAGAAAACAGCAATGCCTCATAAAGCTTCATTTGGCATGATATTTTTGAAATTGACGGACAATCTAATGGAGATGATGAAACTGCGAGCTAATAACTATATGGATTATGTTTCTTGCATCAAGCAATCAAACGACTACGTAATGTGGTTATGGGAGTTATAGGGTCATGGGTTTATAGGGTTATTGGGTTAGGGGGTTGGGGATTATAGGGTTAAATATATTCTGTTTATAGAGCCCTAATATATCCCGCAATGAAAGAGTAAGTTAAATTACTGAATAACGTGATTATTGGAGTTATCGGTTATGTGGTTATGGGAATATACGGTTATGCGGTTAGGTGGTTTGAGGTCGACTGTATAGGATTATGGGGTTACGGCGGGTGCACAGCTCCCTTTACAGGACCGTTGTGTGTAATAGGACTTGACAGCTGGGGTTGTGAGATGATATGGGGTTATCGCTAAAACCTGAAGTGATGGTGTTAAATTGATCACGGATTCGGATTCAGTGACCCCGAAAATATGTAGTCTGATCTTCGGACTCGAAAAGCATTTTTTTGTCTGGCTGTGTAATCGATCAGAAGCAAATTAGATTGTCTGTCTCAAATTTCCCTCATAGTAAACTGTGACTGCACCCCAAATTTTAACCCTTGCAGTTTTTTTTATCATAGAAGTATTGAACAATACCATAACCTAAATGCACTATAGTTCTAAATAGATATTTAATTTCACTGAAACAGAAACCTGCTGTGATAGGTGGTTTATGAATTATTTTTCATGTTGCCTCGATAACTTTTAAAAATTGAGTTCATTAAAACTAAATGCCCGTTCAAAATTTTTATCAGATCCAATTTTATTTCATTTAGAAAAAAACTGTAACTTTATTAACTTGATTTATTTCAAATTTTTTTTTTTCGTTAATTATTCTGATTCTTCGAAAAACTGTTCTAAAAGTTTAGAGTTTAATAGCTGATGAGTTTACTTTGAGAAAATTTGTTTCGAATTGCGAATACTGGTTTATTACCTTTAATTTCGGTTCTTTATTTACATTTAGTTACAAGTAGTTTGTTAATTCAGGATTGAATTCCACAGACTAATCTTATTCTATTAAAGTTTTGAGATTGGCTAGTCAAGCAGGTACAAAACTTTTCAAGTTGTACAACGGCACATCTATTGCACGTTAAATATCTAGTTTAATACACAAGTCAATTAAAAACTATAATAGCATATAAATATTCATCTCTAAAATAATAATTAAAATACAAAAACGCTCAATGGTACCTTAGTTCAAGAGAGTTAAGCTCAAAACCTTCGAGATGTGGCTGTTGCTTGACGTAGATTAGATATTAGTAAAAATGAGTCGAAAATAATATATACAATGAAGTTTGTGCCAGGAAAAAAATTGTGCTATTTGCAGGAAAAATTAAAAATTGCAAAAGTACTCGAAAATGAGGCATTTTTTCTCACATTTTCCAATATAACTTTTTAAATATGCATTTTACAGAAAAAAACATTATGATGAAATTGTTTGTTGTGAAATTTGTTACAAGATAGATTGAGCCGTTTCAATTGAGACTCCGTCTCGATTGAAACGGCTTAGTCCGTGAACAAAACAATACTAATAAAATTTGTATTTTGCCTAAATCGTTGCAAAAACCAATTTGCGTAATTGACTCTTGCAGGATAATCAGCGGGAGACATTTCATGTACCTTTTGGACGTCATAAGGGTGTAGCAGTTGTTCTGGAAGGGTCTCATGAACGGTCTATTTGTGGCATGAACTTGGACCGACAGCTTTTTTACACTATTGGATCTCATCCAGAATGTTCCCCCCCAGGTAAAGGTTCCTTGCTCATTTTGGAGGCCTTTCTCTACCACGATGCGGCTACTTTTAGCATTTTTTATTTCACTTGACTCTTTACCTCTTTCTCTTAAGCTACGATCAAGTCTTTCAGAAATTGTTCGGTGCGGTAAACGTTGATTTGGAAATGCTTCAGAATAAATTCTTCTTGTCTCAACACAATTGCCGAGTGCTTGTCCACAGAAAATGAAACTAGATGCATGTCAGCATATTCGTTATAGGAATAATGCTCCATTATTTAGTTTTGTGTACTCAATCAATCAGACAAATTTTACAAGTGTTGTCAATAAACATAAAAACGACTAGTGTTTTATTGCAGAATTCTGATTTATTATTTCAGTGACGTGATATACAAAAACTGAATTTTTTCGAAAACGGCTAATTTTATTGAAACAAATGTAGAGTACCTTTTTTAAAGAGGAATGGTCAAAGTATTTAAAAATTCAGTTTTCAGCTCTATACAATGACACTTGTCCCACTTGGCCCAACGGGTGTGGTGGCAAGTCCGTTCCTGACTTTCCTGACAGTGTAAAACATCTACTGTAGTACGGCTTTACGAGTCTTTGTGGTCTACATAAAATATTAAAATTTCAAACTAGGCTTATTTTGACTTCCCCTATACACTCCAGAGGGTATGCCATATACTTACCAGACACCCTGTATACGGAGGGTTCATAACAACAGACAAAGGAAAGGAGAATGCAAGGAAAATATAGTATTTTAATGCAACAGTTGCTTTGTATAACCACTAGTATGGAAAATCATTTTAGGTTTTTCCAATTTATATTAAAATTACAAACCTTACTTGGAGAAAAGAAAATAAACGAAACAAATTGAGATATAAAAGAGCTGAAGTTATAATGGTTATAATATGGGCATATTTGTTTAGGGGTGGATATATCCATCCCATTTCCGTAAATGCATTTATTATTCCGTTAATATGTCAGAAAGTAACATCTATACACAAGTATTAGCACACCAAATTTGATGTAAATCGAAAAATCGTTTTGAAGATATTTCGAAGTAACTAAAACTTTTATTCTCTTTCTAATTTAATGCCATCTAGCGGCTAAAAGAAGCAACTTGGTATAAGTGGCCTTAAAACGCCATATTAGAGAGTACCCTGTACACACCCATCCTGTGTCGGTTCACTCAGCCTGTATATTTCTTCACTTCTGAGCTATTGAATAAATAACTTTATTTTGTTTTAATCTCAATGTCCTTGCAATTTCTGAACCATTAATAATAATTAGATTCGAGATTATAAGACAAACTTTCAACACTTCGCAATTTTGATGCTGTCTCTTCCTCTCATATGTTCACACGTGCTGTAAATTATAGTGTACAGGGTGTTTCACAATTCTTATTATATATTCAGAGAACGACAGAATATCAAAATAATTTGACAATTTTCTTTTATTTCTAAATACAAGTGGTCAAAGATGATTTTTAAAATTAAATTTTAGCCACATCTATTCGAAAAAACAATGTATAGAACAACATTCTTCATTTGCCTTGCTTCACCAAATACACTAGGTCATAAAAAACTATTAAATAGAAAATAAAATATATAATACTGGTAAATATTAATAAAACAAAAAAAAAACAGAAAGATTGAAAACTAACTAATGAGTTATCTAGTTACTATCTAAAAACAGCCTTGAACGTGATGTGAGTTATCTCCAGTGCAGTGATTACGGTAAGCAACCCAGGCATTGAAGCCGTTGCCTGACAGTCTCTGATGTTCCTCGTAGATAGTCTTGGCACAGGCAATGTCATCACCCAAGTAGTCGTTCCTGAAGTCAGCACAGGTCTTCTTGCACGCCTTTCCTGGGCCTCCATGAGCAGTACACCAGTAAATTTCGCTTATCTGGAGGATACCATGGTCGCCGCTGGAGTGATTGATTTGAGATGTGTCGAAATTTGACTCGTGTTGAGCGATGCACGTCCATGTTGGAATCTGCCACTTGGGAATGCCGTACTTCAAGAGCTGGTGGGCGAATTCACACCTCTCGAACACTTTTGCTTCGGACAAGCTGAAGCTTACTGCAATTACGACGAGTAGAGTTGCGTAGTTGGTCATGTTGAATCTTCAGTAAAACTGATGTAACTGACTATTGTACGCCTCGGGCTGTTTTTATATGGCTAGAGTTTAAACAAATTCAGCTTTGGAAATTCTAATCGGCGTTATGGGAAAGCCCGCAATATACACGTAATTGACAGATAACGTTAACTTGAAATAAACGAAGACATTAAGGAAATGGGTCATTCGCCCAAGAGGGATGTGTTTTTGTTTCATTTCTTAGGTTATCATTTTATTTAGTATAAAAATTTAGTGGATTTAGAATAAGTAGTATAGGCGAGCAGTTCACCCTTAAAAAAAAGGCATGAACCGACTAAATTTTTAAAACAAAAACCTACAGCATAAAACTTTTTTTATTTTATAAAGTGTATTTCTGATAATTTACATAATTTTTTTATATTTTTCGACGTGGTCAGTCAATTGTTATAAACAAAAAAGTTGTAAAAAAAATTGCTCGCCGAATGGCATTTATAATGTAAAATGGACAAAAATAAACACTGTTTGTTCTTTGACAAAATTCGAAAAATGCTTCGTTTCCAAGATATTTACAATTTAATGTGAAGAGTCGACAAATTTTCGGAATTTTTTTCACAAAAACTACTGATCAGATTTTAATTCTAAAAAAGCATAATAATCAGCAGATTTTCTACTTTAAGATATATTTTTTTGGTATGGGTCAATCATTTTATTGAAGGTCTAAAGCGAGTAAAAACAAGTCTTTTAAAGAAAATTATGATTACACTTCAAATTTAAATTTTCTTTTTACAATACTTTGGATTAGATTATATTTACAATAAATATTTTATGATTCATTTTAATCGATATATGTTGACACTACAAAGGTTCAAAAGATTATTTTGTTTGGTTTTGTAGCCGGAGTAGGTAAGGTAAAATTTAAATATTCGAGTTGTGGTTTTATAAATGGCTAAAATTGACTTGAAAATTATACCAAAACTAAACTAAATAGGCTTTTTAAATCGTAAAGTTAACCTAATAATAATAATTGACCTAGCGGTCTCCAAAAATAAAAAAGTTATTGCATAATTTATTGTAAAGGATAATTATTTTATTCTTATTTTACAAAAATATTAAGAGCAATAAAAGTATATTAATTTCTTTTTTATTTAATTTTTAGATAATAAGTTTTTCGTTATTTTCGACAAGTTCTTGAGTTGAAATAAGCGTTTCATCATCAATTTCGGATGGAACATTCTGTCAGTCATTTAAGCACGCACAGACTGCACAGCATTCCAGATTTGATGACAATCAGTTACAATTTTTCGTAGAACATTTTCCATTTTGAAGCATATCTAACGCAGTTTCGCCTTTGAAATAATTAAAATCCAAACAGCTAGGTATAGGTCAATTAATTTATTGAAGGTCTAAAGTGAGTAAAAAAAAACAGTCTACTCTAGATCCATTGACACATGGATGGAAAATCGAAAATGACTGTTTGGATTTTAATTATTTCAAAGGAGAAACTGCGTTAGATATGCTTCAAAATGGAAAATGTTCTACGAAAAATTGTTACTGTTTGTCATCGAACCTGGAATGCTGTGCAGTCTGTGCGTGATCAGATAAATGTCAGAATGTTCCATCCGAAATTGATGATGAACCGCTTATTTCAACTCAATAACTTGTCGAAAATAAGGAAAAACTTATCATTTAAAAATTAAATAAAAAAGAAATTAATATACTTTTATTGCTCTTAATATTTTTGTAAAATAAAAATAAAATAATTATCCTTTACAATAAATTATGCAATAACTTTCTTATTTTTGGATTATTATTAGGTTAATTTTACGATTTAAAAAGCTTATTTAGTTTAGTTTTGGTATAACTTTCAAGTCAATTTTAGCCATTTATAAAACAACAAATCGAATATTTAAAATTTACTAATTACTTGCAAAAACTTTACTCCGGCTACAAAACCAAACAAAATGATCTTATGAACATTTGTACTGTTAACATGTATTGATTAAAAAAATCATAATAATGTTTATTGTAAATATAATCTAATCCAAGATATTGTAAAAAGAAAATTTAAGTGTAATCATAATTTTCTTTAAATGACTTGTTTTTACTCGCTTTAGACCTTCAATAAAATGATTGATTCATACAAAAAAAATAATATCTTAAAGTAGAAAATCTGCAGATTATTATGCTTTTTCTAGAATTAAAATCTTTTCAGTAGTTCTCGAGAAAAAAATTCCGGAATTTGTCGATTTCGTCACTTTTTTCACATTAAATTGTAAATGTCTCGGAAACGAAGCATTTTTACAATTTTTGTCAAAGAACAAAAAGTGTTTATTTTGGTCCATTTTACAATAACAAATCCATTCGGCGAGTAATTTTTTTTTTTACAACTTTTTTGTTTATAACAATTGACTGACCACGCCGAAAGATATAAAAAAATATGTAAATTATCAGAAAAATGTACTTTATAAAATGAAAAAAGTTTCATGCTGTAGGTTTTCGTTTTAAAAATTTAGTCGGTTCATGCCTTTTTTTAAGGGTGAACTGCTCGCCTATACTAGTTATTCTAAATCCACTAAATTTGTATACTAAATAAAATGATAACCTAAGAAATGAAACAAAAACACATCCCTCTTGGGCGAATGACCCATTTCCTTAATGTCTTCGTTTATTTCAAGTTAACGTTATCTGTCAATTACGTGTATATTGCGGGCTTTCCCATAACGCCGATTAGAATTTCCAAAGCTGAATTTGTTTAAACTCTAGCCATATAAAAACAGCCCGAGGCGTACAATAGTCAGTTACATCAGTTTTACTGAAGATTCAACATGACCAACTACGCAACTCTACTCGTCGTAATTGCAGTAAGTTTCAGCTTGTCCGAAGCAAAAGTGTTCGAGAGGTGTGAATTCGCCCACCAGCTCTTGAAGTACGGCATTCCCAAGTGGCAGATTCCAACATGGACGTGCATTGCTCAGCACGAGTCAAATTTCGACACATCTCAAATCAATCACTCCAGCGGCGACCATGGTATCCTCCAGATAAGCGAAATTTACTGGTGTACTGCTCATGGAGGCCCAGGAAAGGCGTGCAAGAAGACCTGTGCTGACTTCAGGAATGATTACTTGGGTGATGATATTGCCTGTGCCAAGACTATCTACGAGGAACATCAGAGGCTGTCAGGCAACGGCTTCAATGCCTGGGTTGCTTACCGTAATCACTGCACTGGAGATAACTCACATCACGTTCAAGGCTGTTTTTAGATAGTAACTAGATAACTCATTAGTTAGTTTTCAATCTTTCTGTTTTTTTTTTGTTTTATTAATATTTACCAGTATTATATATTTTATTTTCTATTTAATAGTTTTTTTATGACCTTAATGTATTTGGAGAAGCAAGGCAAATGAAGAATGTTGTTCTATACATTGTTTTTTCGAATAGATGTGGCTAAAATTTAATTTTAAAAATCATCTTTGACCACTTGTATTTAGAAATAAAAGAAAATTGTCAAATTATTTTGATATTCTGTCGTTCTCTGAATATATAATAAGAATTGTGAAACACCCTGTACACTATAATTTACAGCACGTGTGAACATATGAGAGGAAGAGACAGCATCAAAATTGCGAAGTGTTGTAAGTTTGTCTTATAATCTCGAATCTAATGATTAATGGTTTAGAAATTGCAAGGACATTGAAGTTAAAACAAAATAAAGTTATTTATTCAATAGCTCAGAAGTGAAGAAATATACAGGGTGAATGAATCGACACAGGATGGGTGTGTACAGTACAAGTTTCTTTTAGCCGCTAGATGGCATTAAATTAGAAAGACAAAGAGAGAGAGAATAAAAGTTTTAGTTACTTCGAAATATCTTCAAAACGATTTTTCGATTTACATAAAATTTGGTGGGCTAATACTTGTGTATAGATGTTACATTCTGACATATTAACGGAATAATAAATGCATTTACGGAATTGGGATGGATATATCCACCCCCTAAACAAATATGCTCATATTATAACCATTATAACTTCAGCTCTTTTATATCTGAATTTTTTTCGTTTATTTTCTTTTCTCCAAGTAAGGTTTCAATTTTAATATAAAATGGAAAAACCTAAAATGATTTTCCATGCTAGTGGTTATACAAAGCAACTGTTGCATTAAAATACTATATTTTTCTTGCATTCTCCTTTCCTTGTCTGTTGTTATGAACCCTCCTTATACAGGGTGTCTGGTAAGTATATGGCATACTCTCGGGAGTGTATAGGGGAAGCCAAAATAACCCTAGTTTGAAATTTTAATATTTTATGTAGACCACAAAGACTCATAAAGCCGTACTACAGTAGATGTTTTACACTGTCAGGGAAGTCAGGAACGGACTTGCCACCACACTCGTTAGGCCAAGTGGGACAGGTGTCATTGTATAGAGCTCAAAACTGAATTTTTAAATACTTTGGCCATTCCTATTTAAAAAAGGTACTCTACGTGTGTCAATGGATCTAGAGTAGACTGTTTTTTTTACTCACTTTAGGCCTTCAATAAATTAATTGACCTATACCAAAAAAAATATATCTTAAAGTAGAAGATCTGCCGATTATTATGCTTCTTTTAGAATTAAACTTTTTTCACATTAAATTGTAAATATCTCGGAAACGAAGCGTTTTTCGAATTTTTAATAAAGAACAGTGTAAGTGTTTATTTTGGTGCATTTTACAATCAAAAACGGTTTCAAGCCATTCGGCGAGTATTTTTTTTTATAACTTTTTGTTTATAACAATTGACTGACCACGCCAAAAAATCATCAGAAAAATACACTTTATAAAATAAAAAAAGTTTCTTGCTGCAGGTTTTTGTTTTAAAAAATTGGTCGATTACCCTTCATTTAAAAGCATATTTTTAGGGGTGAACCGCTCGCCTAGTAATGTGTATTCTTTGAGAAATGAGACTATACGGAGTGGTGAGAAAGTAATTGCTACAAATTCTAGTAGTGATAAAGAATAAAAAATATGACGCCTTTTTCCATACGCCGCGTCGTGAGCCTATTAATTTATGTTTTTGATGTAAAAATGCGAAGCTATCGAGAAAAACACGATTGACTGTTCCAAGTTGACCATCATCTACCAATAATGTTTTTTTTATCGACCACCTGTTGAAATAGAAACTGTATGTTAAATTATTTAATTAATAATTACAAAACAACTTCTGAATAAATTTGTAATTTGAAAGGACCAGTTTCTTCCAGCGTTATACAAAATAAAATTGCGTTTTACATTTAAACTATGCCTCGAATAAAAAATATCGAAAGACAATTTATGTTAAGTATCGAAGATATTACAAAAATTACATTAAAAAATTGAGGAGCCTGTGGTTTGGGCTTTTTTTTTGTCAAAACGATGTGGATATCACTTCCAGCAGTCCTATACCTGCTGATTCAATAAAATTAAAATTTCTTTCAAGAAGTGCCTTTACCTGAAACCTTTTTGTGATATAATTTTTAGATAAGCAACATAAATCAGCTACTTGGATCCACAGAAAAAAATACGTACATATTTTGCATAATGTGGATGAAAACTTAAATAAATTGCCTTACTTAACTTTTTTAACTTAAAACTTAAATAAATAAAACCTTAAATAATTTATTCTTTTAATGTGGCTGTTCAGAAAAGTCGTAGCTGGCGATTAAGCTTAACTTACCAACATCGTAAACGTACAGTTTTATATTGAAAATACCAGTCAAGTGTTAGTCCACTTAACAATAACAATATTTATAATAATCCAGTAAGCAAAGGTTTTTCCAGGAAAAAAAAATGTAGAAGTTTTTTCTCACCGGTTCTATATGTTTTTTGGGGTACTGAATCCGAATATGAGGTTTGCCGCCTCGCCAGGCGTCGGTTACACGAAAAAAGCAAAAATACTATTATTTAATAATTTTCATATTCATTCGTCGTCCTCATCTGCAGAATTATCACCTGAAACAACGAGAATGGAGACTTTAGATAACTATAATAGAATCCATAACGTTCATGTTCATTATGGACAAAATTTATTATGTCTGCACAATAGAGTTTAATATTATTTTTAAAACAGAGAAAACCGAAAATAAGATGAAGCATAAGTCAATACCTGCATATGGCTCAGGATTGCGGTCGCAGATCTTCCGTTTAGATGGACCGGGCTGTATATCCAGAGCGACTTAATGTTTTCTTTTTAGTCCTGTCCGGGCAGTGGACTGTTCGAACTCTTGAAGGATGGGTGCTGGTCTCTCCACTGGAAAAAATATTATTATGACATTTTGTTCTGTGAAGGTATAGTTTCTAATGTACAGTGATAAATACTAGATTAGAATAATAATTACTTGTAATAGTATAAATTACTTTCGATCTTCTCAGGTGAAACGTCTTGATCGTCATAACTGAGCAGTATTTCTACATTGGAGCACCTTCAAACAGAGTCTGGAGCAGTATAACCCAACCCTTCTACATCCGCAATTTCCTTTGCAGCCCTTCTGGCACTTGCAGGCAATGAGTGTCAGAAGCTTCTCTAAGGTTGGGGGCTCTAGGGTCGTGATGGGAATCAAGTTGCCTTTATTAACTTTCCATCCAACTTTTAATTTTTTTCCTGGAAACGCCGTTTCTGAACCTTGGATGACTGAACTATAATGAATTTGCTGGAAAACAGCCTTCAAAGACTACTGTTAGCATCGTTCACTCCTCATAAATACTGGCGTTTTACAGACAAGGAATAGCGCAATCACGATGAACATGTAAACATCAGAAAAAAAAATCTTTCTTGTTTCAGTTGTCTTATACCCTGAAGAAAACTTATGTGAATGGTACAGTGAAGATATGTTGTTTCTAACTTGCTTAGATTTTCTAAAACGCTGGACAAAAAATTGCGCATATCTTTGAAGTAATGTAACGAATAACTTTCAAAATCCGTTTCGACAAAGCAGGATTAGCTATGACGATAGCAATAAAACATTTTAAGTTGTTAATAGCATAGATTTTATAAAAAAACAACGTTAAATATTAACTTTTCGGCTAAATAAAGTAGGTACTAGTTTCCAGTTATAGCAAAATTCTCTAAGGGATATTTTTGGCGCCTCATAAATACTTTTTGCCGTAGTTTCAATTAAAATAAAATATATTGTAAAATTATATTATTTTCCACCAACACAAAATGTAAATTGTCGCAGCTGGTTCAATCCGAAAAGCGAAGCAATTTTATTTTCTAAGGAGTAGATATTTTGTTCTTTTTTTATTTCTTCCTGTTTCGTTCTAAATCTTCCAATTTTTGTTTTTATAGAGCTCCAAAATTATCGATATCTTACCATTTTAAACATATTCTTATATTTCTAAAATATGGGGTATAGGGTATGTGTTAATAAATATTTTCTGTAATATCTTCAGAACCGAGCACAATTTTGGATTTTTTTTGATAGATATACCTACATTTTTTGTGTAGAATAAAATTCTCTACCAATATCTGATAGTTGCGTGTATAATATAAACATACAAAACAGTTACAGAAGAATATTCACAAAGGGTTGTAGTAAAATGAACGCCCTGTATGATTTAACCTAATAGGAATATAATCACTGCATACTTCATGAAGAGAAACTAAGCAATAGCAAATTTTGCTCAAATCGGTTCTAGTTAAGGAGAAAACAAGAAATAAAAAAGTAACTTTAACACCCTGTAACTTTTTTTGGAACATTTTTCGTTTAAACAAGTTTAGTTAAATCGACACCATTTGGGTTCTAGATTATACCCTTGAAGTATGTGACATGCGTTAGGTGACACCCTGTATAACAGATATCCTTCGAAAATCAGAATATAATATTTGCCTGAATAAAAATGTTTAAAAGAAATTCTGTTATTAAAAAATATGTTAAAATGCAGATTTTATATCAGTATGTTGTTTCTCTACGAAAAATGTCTTCTTTGGTGTAAAAATGGAAGAACTACCTGCATTTTTCATTTAAATGGCAAGACATTCTTTTCTTTTTATCGAATTAACTTCTTCGCTCCTTCTTGTCGTTCTACCTACATCTAAGGTGAAGTATATCAAAGTATTTGAAATTGCATATAACAGCTAATATTTCATATCTTTATAACCCAGACACATATCTTGAATATAAATGCTTTAACCTAGTTTTATCACATCCTATAAAGTTAATTCTCTCATCGTAAAATGATTTTGTAAAAGAAACTATCCTTAGATCCTTCATGAAAATTGGAAATGTGGCCACAAAATTATAAAAGTTTTCTGTCTGAATAATTCTACAGCGAATAAAGTAAATTATTTTATAACCGTTCAGTGTTTGACTCTAACTTTTATTTTTTATTAAACCCATTACAAATATCCTATATACTTTGGCCATTTACGTCAAAATAACAATAACTTATATAAAAAAGTATCCAGTGGTAGTTTGATGACGTTTCATTACTTTCAGGCGGTAGTATAAAAAG